ATACGGTGTTTTCGCCTACATTTTTGGATTCCTCGACCTTCAAAACATAAAGATTTGCACTTACCTCAAAATGTGTTATTTTTGTAGTTACTGCCTTTTAGCTTACGAGGGCAGTGTAGGCCTAAGCTAGGTTTATTTTGAAATTTCATTTTCTTGAACCAATGCCCTGAATTATTCGAAAGATTTTAAAAATATAATTTTTGAATTTTGTTGTAGATTTAATATAGCGACTTTAGTTTTCGGTTAACCTTTAAAATACAATATTCAGGATGACTGAAAAGGTGGTAACTACAGTTTTAAATTCTCTTGCCTTATAAAGTAAGTATAAGGTATAAGTATATTAAGTAAGTCCTCAATGCAGTTCTAGTTTTCTAAAATGTGTTTGATGAAATTCGACTGTACTTGGTCATGTTTTTTTTAAAACATGCATGCTTGTATACATAGCTGTGATACTAACTGAGCAGTTATAGTGTTTGCCTCGTAATCAGTAGATTTGGAGTAAAATCTTGTGAACAATCCAACAAATGTTTGATACCTGTTCTGTAAGAGTAAATAAATGTTCTTGACTAAAGAAACAACTGTTCTTACCCAGGAACAAAGCTGCACAAATATTTAAAATCATTCAACACACTCACTCTGCATTCACTTTCAGATTAAAATACTATAGACATATCACGAACAAAACAACCTGCGCAGAAACGAAAAGATCACGTGGTTCGCGCCAGTAGGTGTGGCGTACCATTCAAACCTGCGCGGCTCGAAACGGCCCAGGGTTCTTTTGTTTCTGGTATTACTATAACACGAAGTAGGCTACATCCACTACCCTAATGAAGTGGTATACCAATCAGCAAATGATGGTATACCCTACGACCAGCAATTGATCTTCTATTCCACAGTTTACAATGCCTTTGTATAATTATAAATAAATAAATTTATCACTAAAACTGTTTTACCCTACAGTGTAGGTCAGAAGCAGTTGGTGTGCCTAGCTCGAGCGTTGTTGCGGAAAACAAAAGTGTTGGTTTTGGACGAGGCGACCGCAGCGGTGGATTTGGAAACTGACAATATCATCCAACAAACCATCCGCAGAGAGTTCAAGAACTGCACAGTGTTGACAATCGCACACAGACTGCAGACCATCATGGACTATGATAGGTAAGGGATGTGTCATCTTTATAATAAACAATTTAGCAGCTCCTGTCTCCGTGGTATGCTGATAAGAGTGATAAGCCTTTTCTAACGTCCTCTCTCCTATGTAAAAAGTTCATTTTCTTATAGTAGATGATTGTTTTCCTTTCACTTTTAAGTTCTCTGTAATGTTGAACTTCCATTCATTTTTTGGTCACTCTTTTTTCATTCTACCAATTTCTTTTGGTAGGTAGCTAGAATTTGCTACATTTTCTTCATCGTTTTAAACATGCCACTCTAGTTTTGAGATCCTGACATTTCTTTCGTCCATCCTTAAACAAGACGAAAATCATTCTAGTCTTTACATTCAGATTAGGGAATATTGTCCTGACTTTTGGCACATTATAAATTGATGTTTTAAGAAATTTCTTTTCTGGCTAAAAATAGGAATAACTGTTTCCTTGCATTAATAGTCAGGAACTCCCTTTAGCTTTGCGGTAATAGGTAAAATGGAAAGCTATTATATACTATTATATTATTTGTGGTAATTACTATTATTTTTGTCAACTATTATGTCTTCGTCAAGGACATTTAAGCCGATCGCCGTTAATAGGAAGACACAATCAGCTTTATTTCATTTGCTTGTTCTAAGAGCTCAGACGAGGTTCCAAAAAAATCGTATCGTCAGTCATCACAACGTATTGCTGGTCGATACAATTAAGAGCTGTTTGTTTATTTACATGAAAGGGTTTTTGATGGTGTTTTACAGTATTTACATAGTGGAAATGTGTGAGCTGAGTATTTATTTTTAGTATCTTATTAATTAGTAAGAGAGGGTTATTTTGAGTTTTAAAGAAAGGTAGTTGCCTAACATTTGCTCATAGTTTCCTTTGTAATGCATACAAAAACCTAAATGCAAAAAGGATTGACTAAAATTGGAGAATTAGGGTAAAGTTAACTTTTCTTTTGTATTTATTTACCTATCAACAGTATCATGTAATTGATCTTATTGTATGTTGTTAGTTTCTTATGGATCTGTTGACTACATTAGTAGGGTTTTGAAAGTAACTAGCTGTACAATTTTAACTCTTTTAAGTTTATCTTTTCAAATTATATCATAGAGTTAAAGTGCTTGGTTATCTTGAGCATTTGAACCCCTCAACTGAATTTAAAGACAAGAATTTTAATACACTAAGTGTAGAAAGAAGATTAAGTATTTTTTATAGAGTTAATAATATAAGTGTAACTATTTCATAAAGCAGATCTAAAGAACAGCACTATCTAAAAATCTGTATTCCTCAGAAAACTTAGTCAAAATTTAAAATTTTTTAAGCTAAGCTTTTTATTTTCAAACCACTAAAATACCGCTTACTAATGAACAGTATTGTAAAAACTCTTAGTAACATGAACATGTCTCTGGTTGCTTAGGATTTTGGTGCTGGAGAATGGGAGAGTGGCAGAGTATGAAAATCCAAAAACATTACTACAAAATTCAAAATCTATATTTTACCACATGGTACAAGATGCTGGTATAGTGGCATGACATGGTTTGTTTTTAAACCACTAACTTAATTATTTAGGTTAGGGTATTTTTTGTGTATATATTATCAGTATAAGAGTATTATATTGAATGAAATTAAATGAAAATAATGAATATTAGAGAGATCATGAGTTTTATAAACCAAAATTATGAAGTACACCCTAGTTAGTACTTAATTTACATAACCGAGTGCCTTATGAGGTTACATTTGAAGACAATAAACTGTTTAATGGCAACTTTTTATAGCAGTACCATATTCATTCAATACCTTTTTCATACAGTCACCCAACAAAGTGGGCTTCCTTGCACTGATTATAGTACAGAAAGCTGCTAACTGCATTTACTTACTTTGCCACACAGTTTTTACTTTAGCACACACCAGTTTTCCAACAAAACGTGTTTTGCTTTTATTATGCATGTAATCCGTGTACGCTTGGAATTAGGTTGGCAACACTTAAAAGATATTACAACTACGATCAGCTGATTTCGTTCAGTGTTTGTATTCAACCTAACCTAATAACGTTTTGTACAGTATTTGAAAGACTAATTATTAATATGATTTATAGTAACTTTAGGAAAAATTTAATGTGTAACACGAGGTCAAACTGCCTTTGCTGCACTCGAGAAACTTTCCACACTCGTCTACGGCTTGTGCATAAACATTTCTCTTGTGTGCAGCTAAGTGCCACTTCGCCCACTAGTACAAAAATAACTATTTCATAATCTGTTTTTGTACACTGACAATCCTATTTCTTTCATGATATTGAAACTAGAAAACTGTAATTTTACCTGGATTTTGTATGCATAGGCTATTGCATACCCTTTTTTATCCATGACTGAATCTGGCCAGTAGCTGTTAATGATGCCATTAAAATCCTTGGTAATATACCATTGACAATTCCCAATAACATATTTAGACTAATTATCCCTCAATAATCCTGTAACAAGCCTGTGATCATTACCAGACCATTTGCATTGGGCTATCAATTAATGCTGCAACAACAGGACTTAACACGTTCAGTGCTGACTACATCAATTGATGTAGTCACGCGACGAGCGCTCCTATCGGCCTACATCAATTGATGTTGTTGCGCAAGCCCCCACTACATTAGTTCAGTATGAGCTCAGCCATTGCCGGGGAACGTTAAAACCGTTGCTAGCCTTTTGTAGCTTAGAATGTAAGCTTTATTTTGGTGTAGGTTGGTACTAAAATTTCCTGTAAAATCCTGTCTTGCAATGCTTTTGTCCCGGTATCGGGGATTTTCTCTTTTCAAGCCATATTACAAGGCTACTGACTACTGATCCAGGCAGTGCTGCTACCTTTGGGTGTTTTAGGGAACTGCGTCCAATCTCGGGGTAACGTAGTAGCCTACAATCACCGTTGCTCTTTTGTTATTCGTCAGATTAAAATATTTTAATGCCAATTGCGTTCGCTGTTACGGTGCCGCGCCGGGGCTGCGTCCGGGCCTCGCCGCCATTGGCGAGCGCCTGTTAAAATGCCTGCCGCACTGAACGTGTTAAATAGTAACAAGTCTAGCAATCGCTTAAAAAAAGGTTTATTAATGCTACTGGCGTAGATAGGCACACACAAAAAAAAATTCCGACAGGATAGCACTACTACTAGGAATTGGTAAATCATACAGCTCTCAGAATGTGATGCTCCTGAAATAACAATAGTTATTTCAAGAGTTTTCGCTAAAGCATGATATTATTTACATGTGGACAATATAATTTCTAGGTCAAAGTCGTTACAGTGTGCCCCATCAAATCTGTAAATCACTGGCTCCAAGCGAGATTGATCCTGGACCCATTTGCAATTGGGCTATCAACTTCCCCATTGATTAATTAGTTGTTACTCATTGATACCATGTAACAAAGGGTCGACGTCGGGGAACAAAGGCCAGGGTTTGGTCCATTCCCTTACGAGTAACATTTTTGAATGCCAATGCCATAAATAAACACAAATAAAATATGTATATAAAAAATGGGTTAAAATCAATTGGTACATTAGATATAAAACTCAAAATTGTTGGCCGTTGCTAAAAACTGGTACTGCAAGGGAGTATAGAAGTGAAAAATTTTCAAGTGAGACTGCCATTATGCAGAAACTGATTACAGGAGCTAACCCAAAAGCACGGAGAGCTCTCTCTCCAACCCCACTGAATAATTTTATCTTGATTGCAGGCTTGTTTCACTTCCTTGCCTTGAGTAACATTTACGATCCTCCATAGTAAAGAAAATATGGGTTGACCTTGCCTACCACCCTTTATTATTTGTAGAGGCAAAAATAAATTGGCAATTTAATGAATCGGGATCAATAAATACATTAGACTTGACAAAATACATTTATTTACATAAAAAATAAAGTAATAACAAATTACTAGAAGATCAAATAGGAAGGTTGGTTATTGGTTACAAGTAACTCAGTAATGATTACTTAACTGTAACTCTTGGACTGTAAACATGGCTTATGAAAATGCTGGAAAATAAATTTGGCTTAACTTTAAAAGAAAGAGTTTGCATCAAGTGAAGAGAAGTTTTGAAGTTTCTTCTGTTGATATCATTTCTGCAAAACAAGTAAATTATTAGAAATGATTTTGTGTGCTACAGAATTCACAGCCCCTTTTTGTTTTATGTTGAATGAAAGAAAATTTTGATTTAATAATTTTCTACACAAGTGTGGGTACTATCAAAGTGTACAAACGAAGAACCTATTAAAAAAAATGTTGAAGCTAAGTTTCATCGTGATTTTGTCTTAACTCATAAGCATAATTAATTATTCCTATTTATTATTTTCCTTTCAACTACATCAGTCAATAGCTTTAGCTAGCATGAGTCATTAATATGAGAAACTTGATTTATTGTGACAATTATTAAGTATTTTCTTGGGATTCAGATTCATTTATCTAACCTCATTTATCTAAACTAATCAGTTTCTGTAATGTTTGTGCTCTTTAACATGAGCTGAACAGGTAGATTTAATTGCTATAATAATTTCATTACTTTGTTATTCATAAATTGTTCTTCCTCATAACTCCGTATGGAAAGTAGCTATTTTCTATGTCAGTTGATTTAAAAGAAGTAATTAATTGTTTCTCAAGCTCTAATTTAGAGCAATGGAAAAAGGATCAGCTGATTTTCCCTTGCTAAAGTCAGTTCTCCATTTGTCCACTATGTGTGCTAAGGTTCCCGGTGTTTTTATTGTGTAAACATATTCATAATTTGTACCAAAAGTGATTTTGCTTCAATCATTGCCAGCTTGGGCTTTGCCTCGTTGTGTTTGTTTAGTATGTAACATAAAACTTTTAGGGAAAATATGATTTTTCATCACTCCGTAACAAAAGTAACTACTTTCGATAATAGCTGACATCAATGAAAGTAGTCGTTTCCCAAGCTCTAATTTAGGGCGAGGGAAAATCGATCAGCTGATTTTCCCTGGCTCTAAATTTACTTTCCCTCGCTCTCAATTAGTTCTCTATCTATTCACTACGCGTGCTAGTGTTTTGTTATGGTTTAATTTAATGATTTGAATCAGCTGTTTGTATTGTTCAAAGTTGTTTTATTCTTTTATTTTGATATTTAAACAAAATGTGTTGAGAAATATACATAGGTTTCCTTTTAGAAAATTTTATTTTATTTTATTTTGATGTTCGATCAAATTAATTGAGAAATAAAATAGTTGTAATATTACTGAGGTCTGCTATTCTGTGTTTGTGTATTTTTGCGTAGTGATGAACCCTCACACAAAAACTTGAGCGCGCGACGGAAAATGCCACTTTCGGTCCTAGTAATGAAATTACCTGTGCAAAACAACCTGCAAATTACCTGTGAAATTACCTATTCCTGTGCACAATTTCACAATAGTCATGTTTACAGCTTACAACAATAAAACCATTTGTTCATATGAAAGTTTTAGTTCAAAGTGTATGCTTCTTCACTAGACTAGTTAACTAAACTAAGATGTGTGTTTAGTTGATAAATAAATTACAAGTTAGGCTGGAATGTTGGATCAGATCTGATATAGGCTTAAGAAATATCCTTAATTCAATTGGTCACCCTTGAAGACGGTTTTTAATTTTTTTTATGAATTGTGAGATTTACTTTTACCTATAGTAAACAGTTGCCTGATTAAATAATTATTTGAACAAATTTTATCTTTAGATGTAAGAATTATATTTATATTCAGTAAGCAATAGAAAATATTATTATAGGCACTTTTCATCTTTTCATGCCAATATGGTCAACATTTTTTAAATACATGAAAAATATAATACAAGTTTGTAATCTCAAACAAAAATTTGGATTTGTGAGTTTAGACAAATTTAATTATTTTTGTTAATGCATTTTAAATTAACATACATTCAATGGACACCAAAGATGATAAATATTACAGCTAAACAACAATATCAAATATGCTAACAAGTTCAGGAAACAAGATACACAGATAAAACAAAATAACAAACTGTGGTAAAAAAATGCATGTATTTCAAGCCTTATCTGTGTATAATATCTCAACATCACTAGAAAACCTTAGATCCTAAAATGTTATGTACACTAAATAAACTAGCCTATTTACAATCATTCAGATCATTACTTCCAAAACTGTGTTTTGAAAAGTAAACAAAACCATGGATTTGAACAAACTGACAAATCTCAAAAAGTCAAAAGTCCAGAAATAACCGAGTTGAATAATGTTTTAAGAAAAAAAATTACCAGATCTTTCGACAAAAGATACAAACAAAGGAAAAGAAAGTGATGAAAGTCAACATTACCCATTGTTTTACTGTTTGAGCCCCAGATACAACCCACACAACCAGAGTAACATTTAACTTCCTTTATCCATGTGAATATAACTCAACAAACAGCTGAAGACATAGTTATATCATAGACTAACCAACACAAGTAGACTTCTCATCCCATTGTAAATTTTGAAGCACGTTTTTCGTGTCTAGTTTATGTACGTGACACAAAGGCGCTAGTGTCGATGAAACTTTGTTTCCATTATTTTAGGGCAATTTCTTGATTTGTGCTTTACTGTTTGGTTATATAACTAGGGGACAAGTTATTGTTTATGATTAGATCGTATTATTTGGTTAAACGAGGTTTTAAATGACTGTATTAACGGGAAACAAAACACGACCTCTACATAAACTGTACAGAACTAACAATAAAATTGTCTTCAGCTGTTCCATTAGGATGAGAAATCTACTAAGGGAGTATGTTTTATCTATGATAATATTTAAGGCTTGAAGGGTTAATGCATGGACTATCTTCATCCAACAGATCTTTCAGACTTGGAATAAATTCAAAAGGAATGAAATTTGAAAGGAATGATTACTAAAACATTATTGTTCTACTGAAAATGTAATTTAAAAAAACATTATTCTACAATACTGATCTAGTTTGTAACGAATTGTGCTTAATATTATCTTAATAATATTTCATTCCATCATTCATCCAGTTAACCCTATTTGTAAAACAACATAGTTCTTTTTACTCTTCAGTAAAAAAATACACTTAATTTACTCTTCAGTAATAAACACAATTATTTTAATACACAAGAACCCGGATAATATGATTAAGACCAGACCTGGTGAGAAATTACCAACTGTTTGGGTTAACTAAGTAGCTGCTTTTGAGAGTAAAATGTCACTATTTGTACAACGGTCTGTGTATTTTAAAGTAAGTGAAATTCAGTAGAATAATGATATCATTCCTTATACTAAAATTGTTAACAGGATTAAAGTGCATTTAAATACATTCAAGATCTCAAATGTTATTTTGCAGTGCAAGTTATTGAAATCATTTGATAATCAACCAAACACTAAATTCAATTTGTGCTTTTAGGCATGACGTTATAAAACCGACAACCTTATAATTTTCACATATGTATCCTTGATAAAACTTAGTTAGGTACAATTAATTTTTGAAAAGTAACTTTTTTAATTGTTCTTATAACACAATAATTTTATTGATTGAGTTTGTGTTTGTCAGTACAGTCATTTTCAAACATTGAGCGACATATAAAGATGTTGGTCTGGCCAAATCCCGCCTTGGGCATAAATGGCCATGGGAGTGAGTAAGTGAGCGACATATAAGTGAAAAATATATCTGAACATTCATTAAATCCATGTTAAAAAGAGGCAATGAAGGAAACTACTATCTCATAGGCAGATAGGTGGTAAATAACATGTTTCCAATAATAAAAAACAACAAAAACAAAAAACATTAAATCAAACTGTATTAATTTTTTACTAGTGATGGTCGGATCCGGTTATCGGACTACTGGATCCACCGGATCTGAGATAAAACCACGCCAGATCAGATCCACAAAAAATTGGATCTTGGGCTGGATCCGGTAATTTTTTTTTTTAATTTTACGAACAAAAAACAGGTGTTTTGTCATAGTGATGTATTTTAAAATAAAATTAATATTTAAAATAAATTTCATATACAAGAATATTTACTAAATTCCTTATACACAATATTGTAAGTACTTTAAATTATTTACACAATTTGCATTAGGCCATTCATGTATACTTTTGTATTTCTTTGAATAAAGTATCTTTGAACTACACCACATACACAACATCGATACATCTTTGAAGTATCGTTGAATTGCCTACACGATTTATGATAACAATTTTAAAATTAAAAACACTATTAAAAATGTTTTAAGTTATCTTTCTTCTTATAAATTCTTCTATAAAATTATAAAACTCGTGGTCAATCAGAAATGTTTTAAGATGTTTTTTTGAATTTGTTAAAATTTTCCTCATTAATTTCATATCCAATACAAGACTATCTGTGTCCACATACAAGTCTGTCTGCGTCCATATACAAGACTTGGCGAATACCGTGAATATAATCGAGTTATTTGTTTGATAAATCCAAAATCTTATTAATCACAAAAGTGAAAAAGTCAATCCCCCCTCCCCATCTAATATTTTTCTATGCACAAATACAGAGTAATAGAGATACCCTTTTGGTGGTCGTGCAAACTTAGCAAGAAGTTTCATTTTATGATTTTGAACATTTTTAGTGTCCCCAAAAAATTAGGGAATTCTGTATCTGTGACTATCCGTATCCATATATTATGTTATTGACGTCGACAATCTACATATACTGAGACATTACCTAGCCATATAAGCTACAATAATTATTCTATATATTATTACATCAACCTTTAAACATTAACATTACCAATTTAATTTTAAACAGTATGATTTAAATTGAGTTTCTGTAAATATTACGTTTTTTTTTATCGTTCTTCTGACAGTACACATCTGGATTCGGAACCTGGATCCTGTACCGACATTTTCTTGGATCCGCCCATCACTAATTTTTACACCTATGGTATTAGGGTTTGTCATATACACTTGAAATTTATAAATATACATATTCCTTTATTAAGAGGGATTTTCTGATGATATTTATAACTAAATTCATGTGAAAATTATGAAACTAAAACAATCACAGTCAAAATATACTATTATTTTTAACAATAGGTCTACAAAAACGCTTTTGTAAAACAATAAATAATGTAGGCAACAAAAATGCTTTAAGTAAACAATGTTTATCAGGATTATTATTTTAACATGGTGTACTACAAAATTACAAATAAATGTAGTTTTAATTTTTCCGTTACAACAAAGGTAGTAGAAATGAAAACTTCAAGAACGGGATTTGACTGTTCATGAAACATTTAACTCTTATAGCTAGATGTATCAAAATAAGACATTGTTAGGTGATCCAGAGCTATTTAAAGATTAATAATTACCTCTTCTCGTTCTCAGTATTGTAAAAAAAGTTTTTATTTCCTTATATTCTCAAACCGTGACAACCCTTTTAGGTAATGATATTAATGCATTGAACCTTAACTCTTAACCCAATTCCTTTCAAATCCAACTTAGTCTACTACCAACCCATTTTAAAATTGTGAACTATTTAGAAAATATCTTTGGTTACTTTACAATTGGCCCGTGATGTTCAAAATAAAACAGAGTTTTGTGCCTTGTTTCAGTTTGTAAGTCTTATTTAAACTCTGTGCAGCCTATGTCTTCCTGCGTCGGAGTGGTAGGAGTTGTTTTTCCATAGGAAGAACCTTTACTGATTTTCGTCATCTCGATCAGTTTGTACAGCATGAAGAAAACTGGGAAAAGATAAGAAAATTAATGAACAGTAAAATCTTCAAACACAAACAAGAATATTTATGTTGGGGGTTGTTGGTTAGATAAGAACTCTGAGAACGAGCTATCTTTGCAACAGTTTATACTAGTATAAACCTAGAACTAGTGTCAAGTTCTTTACTTTTCCCATCCATAGCCAGGAGATGTATATGAAAAAAGAGTATGGATGTAAAAAAATGTTGGAAGTAAAAGAGGGAGTTTGGAGAAGGTTGTACACACTGGTAAGGTCAGACTAGTGCCTCAGTTTCAGACATGAGAGTGACAAAGTTGAGAAAATATAGTTTGCAGATCTTTAATACTTTTAATAAACTTTATAATGAAATGGCGACAATACAAAGTAGGTATTTTAAGCCAAGTATGAATGGAGATGAGTGGCGCGATCTTGTAGTCTTGTTAGTTAAGGCCGACATATTCTTTAGACACAGCTGTTAATCAATAGCCCATACAGCTAATGGCAACTAAGGGATCTATCTTATAGTGGAATCCGAACCACATTTTTGCCTTGGTATATATACAAATTGGTCTATGAGGATAGTACTGCGGATAGTCAGTTCTCACTCGTGCGGACATTAATCAACATGTGACCGTGGCCTAACTGATGGAGGACGTCTAAAGACTACCGTAGTCATGAGCAAACCATGATTTTTGTTAACATGGCAATCTGAGAGGTATTTTTTTTTATAGTGACTGTCTCAAAACAAACTGATTGATCCCTGCAACCAGCCACAATGTGCAAATGTGTACGTCATTCTGCAAGCACTCTGCACCACCAAAATTGTTTACAATCATAAATTTTTGTCTATCCATCAACTGGGGCATGTATATCTATACCCAGTAATGGCGTTGACTCCTGAAAATTACAAAAAATTAATCACAGAGCTCATTATACTTGGTAGAAACTATCATAGTGAAGCACAGAGAAGGGAACCGGCTAAAATATTAGAGGCGGAAGTACAGAACTGTGTGTTTAGTGTTGTTATATTAGAACTGGCTTACTTCCCCAGAAAGCTTGTTGGAGACCTTGATTTACAGACAACCTTCATAATTGACTAAATAGTATTTAAAATATACTAAAAAACTTGAAAAGTTACTCACAGAACAGTATGATGCCAATGCCAATGGAGATGTAAAGGGAAGAGCCAGACATGAGAAGACACGCGATGTAGTAGAACACAGGCACCAGTGCCACGACAGCCCACACCACCATGTTGACCAGACTGTAGTAGCGACGAGGCAGTAAGAACGGCTCCACACGCGCTACACCACTCTCTGTGAAGAAGTCTCCTGTGTGTAGGAAACTCTCCATCATCTTGTCCTGAACACACACAATCATGAAAAAGTGCATGCACATGACCAGTACCCGTCCCATTTAACTCCTCACTATTGTAGAAGAGAAGCTCATTTATCCCCAAAATACCACGAGTGAATACTTTACTCTTTCTGTGCCACTGGCAGCCTGGCACCTTATTTTAGGTCTGTTTTGTGTGTCTTTTTCTGTTTTTTAACAAAAAAATTTAAGTATCTTTGACTTGGTAAAATCTTTCTTTTTATTAATGCATTGACTGTAATTTAAATGATTTTTTTCTGGATTGAAGCATATAAAATTTGCCATTGTGAATCCACTGTTTATTATTTCAGATGATATTCATGGAGCCTCATTGCTTCAAAACTAGTCACTGAAAGATAAACAGTTGAATGATGAGGTTGGCAAGGTATTTTTCATGTTATAGAAAATTCATCTCCTTTTGCATACATTTCTTAACATCCACTGAATTGTTTAACCTTTTTAGATACAAGTTCCAATGTTATTTTCTGAGTTCACAACAGTCAAGAGTCAACTGACCTTTTCTACGTAGAGGTCTCTAAGCCACTCGGCAGCAGCCTCCTCACCATCAGGCACTTGTTCTATCGGGATCCTCCTCAGCAGAAGATGTCCTTCCAAAGGCTTACCTAGTAGCATGTTGGTCACTGTCGGGGCGACCTTAGTGTTTCTGAAACCAACATGAAGCTATCAATTAATTGTTAAAACTAATTAAAAACTCGATATGGTGGAAAAGGTAGACTGGAGGAAAAATGAAAACTCAATGAATAGTAATATTAATAATTTTGGGGAATTTCCCTGGATAACTAGTTAGAAGGCTCAAAGCAAGATGGTGGGACAATATCTGAAGGTATGTCAGGAACATGAGGCTTATAGGACTGTAGTACCATTGGGTGGCTACCTCAGTAAGTTAGTTAGCAATTCTCTTTCACATTTTTTCCTTCGATTGTTGCTGTATTGAATGGTTGATAAAGTTTAAACCTGCATAGTAAACAAGCTTACTCTTTAAAGGCCAACTGGACATCGTATATGGCTGGCACTTTCTCCCTCAGATGGGGTATACTGCTGGTGAATCCCTTGGTACGAGGTGTCAGGTGCTGTTTCAACTGAGGCAGTCCCTTCTCCCGGGCAAACGCTAAACTAGCTTCATGTTTCTCCTTTGTAAACCTCGTCCCCTCTGCGTACAGCAGGAGCTGGCAACAAAGAAACATTTGACTTTAGCTCATATATTCTTATAACTCACACAATTTCTCTCAATTTAGTACAGCAAACTTCCTCTTGTTTAGACCCTTGTTTTCAAACTATGAAAAGTGTGCAGCGTAGAAGTAAATCCAAAAATGAATGGATGGTTTTATGGAACCATGTGTTGTGAGAGCAAAATTAGTAAACTACTAAAGTACATTGAACAATGAACCCTTACTAGCTCTGTCGGCAAAATAAAACTCTTACAGAAGAGGCTCGGACCAAAATTTGTAGCAACTAGACAGTTCACTTTCTGATGATTCACCTGATGATTGGAATCTGTAAATGGAACTAACATTTACACTAACTAACAACTGACTTTACTTCTCAACTGAATTGACATAGCTTCAACACGACACTGAACACACTGACACTGAGTGGTGTTCTTCACGACACTGACTGATAAAAATCCAACACTGTAGCCTACAAACTACTGTAAGTTGTTTTCAAGGTAAGCCAGTACTTTCCTTATTGAAAACTGCACCAATGAGGAAAAAATGCTAGTTAAAAAAAAACATTAATAAGTATCGTACCATTATAGGATCCGGGTAGTCAGCGAGTTCCCTGACTTGAACTCCGATCGCCTCCTTGTCTTTATTCCAATCTCTTTCCAGAAACACAGACTCAGCAAACTTCCACGACCACCCGATGGTTGGAACGTACTTGATGGACTTTTTCGCATAAGCCTTGCAGTTCTATACATAACAGTATGACATATCAGTAACCATTTACCAAATCTTGTATTCGTTAATATAGCACAAGATTACACATTTTTATGTTTATTGATTGATTACTTTGCAAACAAACAACCATACTATTATGTTCATGGAGACTTAATTGGTATCCAACAAAAACCCAAGAAATGGAATTTAGAAATGTTAGAAGTTTTACTTATTCTCAAAAATTAAAGATGAAGGCTAATGCACAATCTTTTATGGGTGGTTAATCTAATATGGCCAACTTTGATTTTATTTTAACATACAATCATGTTGTTTAGAGAATTACCACGGACATTTCCCTGATTGGAAAAGTATTAGTTGCACAATGAACCACAAAATAAAAAGTAAAGAGGAACACACAACAAAATTTTATGTAAATAAGTTCCATAGCGACACCGTTTCACTAATCAATGATAAAAGCTTTTTGCAATAAGCAACAGAAAATCAACATCATCAAAAATTAAGTTTAAAACAATTTTTAACTGTTTGTTTATTGCTCGTAGTGTTAAACCCGCACTGATAACTGGCTACTTGTTTAAGTCACTTATTTAATTAATGTACTGAGACCTGTTTTGATGACCTTAGCTTTAACAGCACTAAATTCATTTTAACCTAAGATTTAACAAAAAGGTAAGCACTTTAATTTTGATACTGATAATATTGTAGCATTTAAAAAAAAGCTAAAATAAATCAATTAAAGTGGTTTAAATACCTGTAGGCCTAATGTCGACAATCCCAAGTGGTTGTGAAACAACTAGTTTCGGCACTTGACTTCAAAGTTCACAAATAATTTACATTCATTAAAAACATTTAAAAACACGTAACACGCATGCCTAGGCCTAGCTTTAACGACGTGACCGGCGGGAGTTTACGTCTAGACTCAAACTCGAGTTTGAGACTTTGAGAGTTTGAGTGAAACTAGTTGTTTCACAACCACTTGGGATTGTCGACATTACAGGTAGCCTATTTAAACCACTTTAATTGTATATCGATAATCCGGAGGCTACCCATTCGAAAAAATAAAATAAATCAAAACCAAAACTCTACATTGGCTCCAACAAAATTTCAACTTATCTAACTACTGAGATCTACTTACACCTAACACACCGATCCTCTCACAGAATATCCATCCAACAAGCCAATCTACGTCGTAGCGATGGTTCATTATCAGATATGCGTGTTCTTTCCCATAGTACCTCTTAAAATCATCCTTGTCTATGTAAATATAAACATCGGTTCCTGACCACCACTCTGCTAGACAGACCAACTCTGCAAATCAAAACAGGAACTAAAGTAAACATTAGTGGAAATTAAATGGCATTGTATTAGATATTAAATACACAATTTAAAGCTGAAAAACTTTACCAATAAGGCAAAACATACAAACTTTGAATTGTTAATCAATTTACAAACAAACTCCCGGATGTAATTACACTAATTATTTGCTTTCCCTGAACTTTGCAAAGGAGTAAGAACGCAGAGAATAGCCTAATGATGGTTTTGTAAATCTTCCTGTAAAAAACAGTCAAACACAAACCATTGATTAAAAAACGAAACTCAATAATTAATTCATTATAAGCACAAATACATTTATTGACTAGTGTTAGAATGATAATCAAAAAGTCATTTAAACACACTTTAAGTAATTGAAGAATTCCTCAGGGGATATTCGAGAATACCAACCAATTTTAGTTTCTGAATAGGTAAAAAATACAAATGAAATTGTATAAAGTTCATGAAACTGTCATGTAACTCACGCCAAGTCACAAGCATGCAACTGATTTGAGGAGATAAAAAAAACAAAAGTTCAATCAAGTCAAGGCATCGAGAAGAAGTTACTCGACCATTGAATCTGAAGGCAAAGGCCGAGGTAAATGACTTCAGAGAGATAGGCTAATCATCCGTGTGCGTGAAAAACTGATTAGTTACTTTTGTTGATTTGATAGTTAGGCCTATTGATTTGATTAAATACAGCCAGAAGTCAATCATTTATTTTCACACAACTCCTAGCAAACCTGGGAAACCAGCCAAATATTTAAACGTTTCAAATACTAACATAAATTTAAGATATGCTGACAGATAATAGAAACAAATAATTAAAAATAAATAGCTTATTTAAAGAAAATTCTATTTTTACTTGATATATCTGACATTTTATCAAAGTTTTTTTTTTCATTACCATTTACAAGACTTTCAATTTTTGAATGGAAAGGTTTTAAATGAAATCAATATGGTGTTAAATAAATGTAGTTACATAAATCTTAAAAAAAATTTGGATTATGTAAGCAGAATAAAATTGATGGTAGTGTTAATCTGTTAATTATGACAAGATTTTCTGGCTTTTGAAACTGCACAATTCTATAATTTTTAAATGTTTATAATCGTTTATGAGTTGAAGCAAATTCCAAAACTCTTTTTACAGTTTGTACACAAACAAAGCATAATAAAAATAAACCTATGTTTTGAGGTCTGTAACATAATTTTATATTAAGTCAGTTTAGGGAATGATTTGTTTCGTAGAACTAACGAAAACTATAGATATATAGGTCACCACTCGATATCTTATGATAGTATTATCTACCATGCGTTGAATTCTGAAACCCGATAAGTTTGTTAACAGTTCTTTGTCTAAATACATTAGTTTTATGACCTTTAATTTTGGCATTCAGATACAGTATTGAGCAGTTAACAAGCTCTTTTTGGCTTTTAAATATAAAATATGATGAAAAGGTTACAAGTAGGCCTACTATATTGATTTTTCTAGAGTCCTTGGGTAAATATAATAAATAGTTCAGCTCACAGATGGGAAAAACTCACAAACCTATTGTGATCCAATATTAGTAGCAATAGGCTATAATAATAATTCCAGGCCAATAGGCCCTACTGTAAATATAAGTTTTATCAATTTATGGGACTATTTAGTCATTTAACTTATTTAAGAAATAAATAAGAAAGTAGGCCCCTATTATACTAAATTTTGGATAGTGAAACAAGATCAACTTATATAAAATGCTAGATCGATCAATCTGCTGTCAGACTTAATTAATTGACAAATTCACACCTGTCACTCATGAAATTGACACAAACATGAGTGTTTATTGGTATGACATCGTCAGGCATATGGCGTACAACAATTTACAACTTACACTAAAGACCATATTTTACAGCAAAAAGTTATGTTTTTGAAAGTAAAAAAAAACTCATGTTAGTCTTATCCAAAAAGCTCATCCTATTGCGAGCAGGGTAAAGCAACTAAGTTAGTCATTTATAAAATAAATTAGTTGTTTAGTCCCTTCAGGCTACTTCTATTAACCAAATCAAATTTCCCTTAGCCTCTTTTTATTCTCAGTTAAAAATCAGTCTTGGGCACAGAAGTGCAAAATGAATGTGGAATGTTTATAAATAAAATCTTTTAATACTACCTACTGAGATAAAAAAAAATTAAAGAAATATGTTATCTTTGTAACTTAACCTAAACAGGAACTTAATTAGCTAGTTTATTAAGCAAAAAGAAAATAGTAAAATGCAAAGTCACACTTGACTATTTTCCTCTTAAACATCAGCCATTTGACTGTAAATATAAAAAAAAAAATACCGATTGGCTATTTGACTATGTACGCTAACTAGATTCGATAGGGAGGGGTGTGTTTTTTAGAATATATACTTTTTTAATACTCTTCAATGAAATGGCGACCATACAAAGTAGGTATTTTAAGCCAAGTATGAATGGACGTGAGTGTAGGGTGAGTGGCGCGATCTTGTAGTCTTGTAAGTGACTAAGGCTGACATATTCCTTACACAACTGTTAATTAGCCTGATAGCCCATCGGATTATAGGCTATATAGGAAAATATATTCCATTGATATTTAAAAATGCATTTATGTGGGCAATCATTAAAAAAAAACAATAAAACCATTCAAAATACCGGTATAAAAGACCTACGTCGATCTAATCTTCTGGGGCTGAAGAAAATTGACTGTATGAGTATTTGGATAAAACTCCATGTTCTGACGACACCTATAGAAACCTGTTAAAATTTTGGGCAGCTCTACTGTAGGGGACTGTGTTATGGGTGAGGATTTTCCTAAATATATGAGCCAGGTATCTCAATTAGCCAATAAAAATTATTTTAATTAGGGCAAACAATTACTTAATGTAATTTGATTTAAATGTTACCTGCTAACACTAAGCTAAAATGAAAACATAAAATTGTATGGTATTTCTACTTACGAGAATACAATGAGTATGACAGGTACCAGTTTATTTTACGATACCAATGTTTGCTGAAATTATATAAACCATAGTAAAGGAAGACTTGGACAAAATTGATCAGAAGTCCAGACACAAAAAATACTATAATCATTAAAAGATGAGAGATTGGAGACTTTTTTATATACATCAGAATGTTGTTCATGGTGCCCATCTGAAACAAAGAAGAATAGGCCTATGTAGTATAGCCTATATAAAAAAGGAAGATTGTAGTGCCACAGTTGCTTATTATTTTTACAAATGCCACATTATAACAAGAAGGTAAAGACTAACTGGTAATGGAGTCATAGTAATAAGAATTAAAATGACTACAGTAGGCCTACACTCCCTATTAACACGTTCAGTGCGAGGGGCGGGAATTCTCGCCCTGCGGTACCGGCGCCACTGGTGCGGGGCAGGAAATCACGTCCTTCACCAATGCCAACAACTGCTCAGCCATTGCCGGGGAACATTATAATTGTTGCCAGCCTGTAGCGTAGTATGCGAGCTTTATTTTGGTGTAGATATGGTACTAAACATTCCCGTAAAATCCCGTCTGGCAATGCTTTTGTCCCGTTTTCGGGGATTTTCTCTATTCAAGCCATATTACAAAGACTCTGATTATTGATCCAGGCAGTGCTGCTACCTTTGGGTGTATTAGTGAACTACGTCCACTTTCGGGGTAACGCAGAACAATCACCACTGCTCTTTTGTGTTTCGTCTTACTGAGATATTTCAAGCAATCGCTGATTCAGTTAGCGTGCCGGGGCTCCGCCCAGACCTCGCCGCAGTTTATGAGCGCCTGTGTAAAGGTTTTCAGCAGATATATACCAACCGAGGTTGGTGGGACTGAGACTACCTCGGTTGTACAGAGAATCTCGGATACTGTAACACGGAGGTCTCTTAGATTTTGATGTTAGGGGGTTACATTACCACATTAAGAAGTCATAAGATTTGTTTAGTTTATGTTTTAATAACAATGCATTGTGAATATTAAATGATCAATAATTGGTATTTCATGGAACATGTATTTAGGCTAAATCAAGGAGTGTCATTAAAAAAACAATACTGTAGCTGCTCAAACATGCTTAAGTATAAAAGTACGGTACGGTATTAATTTTAAGAAATCGCAAATTATACTTGCTATTTTTTACTTTAAACAGAAAAATTCCTAATTTTTAAACATTAGCCTATTATTGTTTTCCGACCGGAAATAAACAATATAAAAGTTATTTAGGCCTTAAGCGACCGGACAACCTGAAGGCTCGTGCAACCGGGGCTCGGAAAATCGAGAGTGTACATACTGTAGGCTACCTAAATAAGTAAAATAGTCACCCTTTAGTCATCAATATCCATGAAGAACATTAATTTGGAAAATTAACTGAAATTACCAGTCCCCTATAAAAAAAATGTTAATTTTACTTACTGTATAGGCCTACAGGTCAGCCGAAAATCTAACTTTTAATAGGCTGTAAGACAAGAAAATTAACGTTTCTTATTTGGAAATAGCATATAGCCTGCTTAAAACTTAGTGAAGTAGGCCTACACCAAAGTCCCGCTAACTGCCAAGTGAAACAAAGATTTCGATCACCATGAATAAATTTGTTGTATTTGTACTTTAAATGGAACTGGGAACTTTGGAATTAGCCTAAATTATCACCGACAACCTATGGCCGATCTTCTATTTATTAATGTTGTTCTCTTCTCAGTCCTCGTGTACTAACTTAAATGTTAAGAAGTAAGAGCCACAATCTAAAGTGGAAGATGACCATGGAAATCTTTGTGATCACAGAAGATTATCATCGATATGTACCGGTATGTTTTATTTAGCCTATTTATTTAAGGCCTATTTCAGTTTTATCCTAATTTATTTTACATTTCTACGAACAGCTCCATTTTGATACCTATTGATACAAATGATTGGTATTGATGTGTCTGCAATCGTGGGAGACAATAAGAGTGTTTTTGTGAATGTGAGAGCAATAACTTATATGAACATTTATACCGGTACAGTCATATACTAATTCTTGATTCTTGTTGTGAAAGTTGTTAAAAATTTAGGAATGAAGTAAATTTGTAGGCTTAAGGTAGGCCTAAGTTAAATGTTGTGCCTTGTTCGTCATTATCATTAACTAAGGATGCTAATCTAAGCTTAATGTCACCGCGCACCGGAAAAGAGGTTGGCACTCTAATTCAAAAGTCACAGAACAGAAAATTAAGTTATTTAAATCAAATTAAAGGGTACAGTTTTTTAACTGGGCAGATGCTAACTTATTTAACGAATGGAACCATCAAATTGAAAATATCGTTTAGTATGATAATCGTTTTAATATTCTTACTAACTTATTTCAATTATAAAATTAAACTGTCATAAGTTAACATAGGTAACCAATCTTGCTGATTGTGAAAAAATCGAATGAAGGTTTACTAAGTTAATCAAATCGATAGTTTCAATCGGTATTAGCATAGCTCAGTTAAGAAACTGTACACCCCAAATGATCCTTTTATCTGATAAGGTTATTTGTGGAACTGTAGCATAACCCAAAATTCAAAGTTTCAGTAGGGGGTAACTTAGACAAACCCTCAACTTGCATCTAAGTTAGGGCCTAGGCCTATTAATTTCGGCGAGAATGATAATGAGCCAAACAGTAATTGTCACTATATATTCTTTCACTAAGCACAAAGGACAATTTGACCTAAATGTATGCCTAATCTAAAAATAGCTTTAAACTTGGGGATGATATGTGGAATTTGTGCTTACCTATGCGTGATTCAGAGAAAGTAAAGACGTAGGCTATTTTTATCCTTTCAAATAGATAATCAGACTAACAAATCACATAGTGGATCATCTAAAACTGTTATTGTAATTTCATTTCATTACTGCGCACTTAAAACTTTATACTGACTGAATGAACCCCTAAAGGTAGTAAGTAGTTATTTTATTCTAGATGAAAAAAAAACAACAAAGATAAGCAACAGCACCACTACAGACTCAACAGAATTTCAGACCAGAATTCACAATTCAATTCTGAGACAGACGATTTTATAAGGCCCGTAGAAAAAGCTGCAACGTGATTTTATATCTAGCGACAGTGTAAGAAATTTCGCCATAGAGTAAAAGTAATATTTTGCAGCTTAAGAACAGTTTGATCATAGGTTAAGATTAAACTATAGATAAATATATAAATACTATCATAGACTAACCAACACAAGTAGACTTCTCATCCCATTGTAAATTTTGAAGCTCGTTTTTCATGTCTAGTTCATGTACGCCACACTGGGCGCGACACTAGACGAAATTTAGTTTCTATTATTTTAGGGTTAATTTCTTGATTTGTGCTTTACTGTTTGGTTAAATAACTAGGGGACAATTTATTGTTTATGATTAGATCGTATTATTTGGTTAAACGAGGTTTTAAATGACTGTATTAACGGGAAACAAATTGTAAACAAAACACGACCTCTAACATAAACCGTACAGAACTAACAATAAAATTGTCTTCAGCTGTTCCATTAGGATGAGAAATCTACTAAGGGAGTATGTTTTATCTATGATACTATCTTGTGTTGGTTAGCCTTTGGCTGGATTCAGTTGGGGACGGATCAACTTTCGAGGACAATCCAGAGGCTTGTTTTATGAGTGTTTTATGTTGGTGACGTGGAGTGCTAGTGTCGAAAGAATGGTATTATCTTATTTTAGGGGTAATTTGACGATTTGTGCTCAGAGGTTGTTAGTAATAGCTAAATCGGTTTGGTTTATTTTGTTATAACAATCCCTTTACTTACGACATTCAGGAAGACACACAGATGATATGACTGTTACACTCCTGGTGCCGTTGAAGAATCCTATACTCGGCCTGATGGACATCTTAAACGCCATACGACAGCCGTTTATACCACACAGCTCTTTAATAAACTGCCAAGGGTTGTGTTGTGAGGCTCTTACGTAATAAGAAATTTAATCATACCGAAATGGTTAACAAGTAAAGGCTTTCTACAAAGTATTCCTACAAGAATTTTTAGATAATAAGACCAAATTGTATTATAGACTGACTGTGGTGTATTTTGGCATTAACGACGGCTATTTAATTAACAGGCCTTCCTTAAGGCGGAAAATGCTGCTCAGGGGTTTTTTTGTCGGAGATCCTCGGTCTAGTCGCAAAAGGCTGTTGATGTCTACGGTTCGGTATGTACCCCTGTACAATGCAGAAGTGTGGCACTTAAAAAAGGCGGTACAGGATGCTAATGCTGCTCGCCCATGTGCAGCATCAGGCAGCACTCAGGATATCTACCTACCGAAAAGTGTCTGAACCCACCGTCTGGTGTCAACGATAATTCAACATTGACAAAACTCAATGATTGTTGGCTACCCCAGATTAATGACTAAAATAAACTTACTCAGTGCACCACGAGCTTTGACGGAAAAGATCTTACCTACTGCGACAAAGTGAGAAACTTAGGACTCATAATGAACAAACATTTGAATATTGGTCTGACCAAGCAAATTCCACTTGTAACAGGGTTTTTGGGGCTATTCACACCATCAAACGTTTCGCAGAATACCTTCCACTGAACTTGAAAATCATGTTAGTAAAAACTCTCATCTTGACTCATTTCAACTAGGTACTGTGATGTGGTGTCAATGACATTACTAATGAGGTTTCTTGCAGACTTCAGCGAGCGCAGAATTCCTGTATCAGATTCATATTTGGCCTTTTCACACCGGCGTACTGGACGTACTGTACGTTTGGTACGTTTGGACGATATGACCATGTCATTCCCTATTTTAACCTGCTTTCATTGATGAGGCTAAATGAACTTAGGGAATTTCACACCCTCCGTCTTCTACACTCCATTATCAACAATAAAATTCCTAAGTATTTATCAGATAACTACCATTTCATTTCTGACATCAGCACCCGTTCCACTCGTAGAGGCTCTCTTCTTTTATCTACACCAATTCACCGGTCAACAGTTTTTAATAAATCTTTCTTAGTATCTGCGATTCGAATGTGGAATTTTCTTCCTGACCATATAACATCCATAGAGAACCGTGCAAGGTTTGGGGCAGAGATAAAATCTATGATTTTGAGCAGCAGGCATGAATGAGTCTCTGGCGCTGATGTGGCGGGTTGTTGGCGGCTTGTGTGAATGAACTTTTTGGATTTAAATTTAATTTCAACATGTTTATAATATGGTACTTTGGATTATTTAATTTTATTTATAAAGTGGATAGTTTTATTTATGTTTTAGAGGTTAAGTGGTAGAGAGGACTTGCTAGTCCTAACTTCGCCTCTTAAATAAAGACATTTTTCATTTCATTTCATAATTCTTTACCTCGTTGCCTGGTGGTCGCTTGGAGTCATCGCCGTAAAAATTTTGCCGGTGGGGAGGAAGGAAATATATTCTGACTTTATTAATCTATTGTCTGAGCTTGAAGTTATGTGGCAAATAATTCCAGGTCCGTCAACTCCAACAGAACGGAGGAGTTTTTAGTGAGCAGTCTGATCAACTCAAAAGTCTCATGCTACAGGCTGGCTACCTGTGTGCGTAAACATTTTCCCTCCTCTCACTAAAATCTGGGGTTATCGAATGCATTCAAGAAATCCATCTTTTCATTCATATTAAGCTTTTTAAATTACTCAGAACAGAAGTGGATTCAGATGTGTATGACGCTTGTGTCTTTCTACATTTCACTTCGAAGCGAACATTAGACTATGGTGTCTATAGATATAAGTTCTAAAGAAATAAAACCCAATAATTTGTCTACATAAATAAAATCAAGGGACAAAAAATATTCATTGAATGCAATATGTGATACGATACTTAATTTTCATTGACCATAGTACTTATACGATAGTGGTGTAACTAAAACTATATATTAAAAGAAGACTGACAAAATTAAAACTAGCTTCAACACTTTTAGAACAATATAATTAATAGGTTTTTATTTTAAATCCTGTGTCACACAATCTTCAATTCACACCTTTCAAGCAATGCATTGAATTTACCCTGACTCTTGTTTATTTTAAAACTATTTTTTGTAGAGTATGTATAAAAAATTAGACAGAGAATGCATTACGTTTAACAAATAATTGTCCAAAGCACTCACTGTAAAGCAAACTTATACAGATATTCAAACAAATAGTTGGAAACAAATGTGATATTCCCAAGAACATGTTCAAGTTATCTTGGAATTTAATAACAAACTTGCAGCGTCGTTAACTTTTATGCACCCAAAAACTTTAAAGTATTCCATGCACGACTGCAACTTTACAAGTAATATGCCCATTAGAGCAATTCTATTTCTGCTTTACTAAAATGTATATAAATATTTTTACCTACGACCGTTTTTTAAAGTAGCCATTTCAGTTCAGTTCTTAGAATTGAAAAGTTTCACTTAACAGCTGTTTACTTTCATATCAGCATAGTTTCATTTCATATCAGCATAGTTTTTCTCATATCAACACAGGTAACGGACCAATGAGGTTCAAGTATTGAGAGAAAAGCATTAAAATTGTAATGCTTCGAACGTCAACTAATCAGCTGATCAGCTGATCAGTTGACCAATTTAATTGTTGATCCAACTTGTTCCTGTTGATACTCGCGTATTCTTAACCTAAGTTTGTGGAAGTTAAAGGAAGGGAGATTAAACTGATTTAATAATGTCAGTTATGGAAAGTGAAGTTGACGAGATGGAAATGAGAGAACAAACTGTTTATAATATTCTATAATATTCGATGCTGAGATCTAACTGTAAATTAACTGTTTCACTATAATCATTCAGTTGTCAAAAATAAAATGCAAAATTTTCCTAATTGTACCTGATGCAGTATTTATGGTAAGAATGCTGCTAGCAGAACACATTCCCTGAAAAAGGTAACGTATTTTTTAACGAAGTTTTACAAACACGTAATTACAGGAAATCAGCTGATTCAGGGCTGGTTTAACCCATACGCAAACTACGCGGCCGCATATGGCGCCACGAAAAAGTGGCGCCGTGGCGCCAACGGAACATTTTTTTACGTGAACAACGTAATTTTGTTTATTTTTGCTCAGAGTTCAAGTATTCAAAGCACCACAATAAAGGCATTTATTCTGTTTGTACGAACAGCACAGCACTTGAAAATTTTGTATATTTGTACAGCACTACAACTCAAGGACTCAATGCCATTTGCAGTTTCGATTTGAACTGAGCTGACGCTCGGCAGTCGGCAGCGTCAGCGCCAGCGCGGCACATATGGGTTTCATTTCACGAATCACGCCTCTTTCACACGAAGCGGCGCGCGCCGTACGGCGTCCGCCGCGCGGCGCTGCGCCGGACAAGCGTGTGTCTTCACACTAGTAGACGGTTTCGTGCGGCGCGCGCCGTACGGCACTCCTAAATATTTATTATTTTCTGTTCAGTTGTGGCTTTTAAATGAATACTCCACTTAAAAAGTTCAAATAAAATGAATAGGCTAATTTTAAATATAATAAACTAGTACACCTATTGCTCGAATTTGAGCAATTGCAAAATATTAAAGGAGTTTTTTTACGAATAATTGTCACAATTTCCGTTGACGTGTGAGAGTCAACTCAAAGATAATGTAACCAACCACTCCACTCCAGTTATCGAAACTGGAAACGAACTCACTCTGAAAACGAACGCTCACTCCACTCCATCTATCGAAACTGAAAACGAAAACTCTTGTGTATCATGTGTGTACTATGAACAGCTGTAATTAATACAAATTATTTGTCTGTTTACCTAACAAAATCTTATCTTCATAAGATATACATTGGGATTTTGATGGCCTGAGGGGCAAAGCCCGAGGACTTTTACTACAGGAATTGGTGAAAGGGGGTGTGTAACACAACAAATACTTAATTTTGACACATCGTTTGTAGAAATCCGTCCATTATTAACGGAGGAGTAATATTTCGTAGAAATCGCCTTCACGTATTAAGTATAAGTATTCGTCATAACTGAAAATATTGTATTCTAGAAGTTTAAAAAAATGTTTTATTGCGTAAAAATTACTAAATTATTAATTTAATACTAATTATTCTCCTCTAGTTATTAAAGGAAAAATTTTGTTTTAATACTTTAAGTTGCCCGATTTTCATGGGATGAACATAAAAATATATGTTGTGTAATAACTTAACATATATTATTTTCGATATATAATTTCTTAATTAACTGTTGCACCCTCTTGGTCAGGTAGTTTGCCTAAATTGAGACAGCGTAGGGGTTGAGCCGTGCGGCGCGCGCCGCACCGTGTGGAGGCTCCAATAAGAACCAATGCACCTTCACCGAATCGTCCGGCGTGGACGCCGCGCGGCGCTGTCGTCCGGCTCAAGGTGCATCCGGCGGTAACTCGCGCGCCGTGCGGCGAATTCGCCGCGCGGCGCGCGCCGGACATAGTGTGAAAGGACTCATATACTCCCATAGCCCTACGCCGGATCCGACACGATCCGGACACGATAGAATACGGCAATGACGTAGGTATTTATTTATTTATTTTCCAAGGAAAGATTAAAACAAGCAGCTGATCACAAACGGCAAACATTACGTCATTGCCGTCTTCTATCGTGACGTCATGCTTGACGAGCATTACATTACGGCCTGTTTTTTAGTGTGTCGTGTCCTTGGTTTTGCTATAGTTTATATGATGAGTAAAAGTGTATAAATATCACATTTCTGCGAATAATTAACAGCCTTTTATTGCTAGTTAGTATTCTTCTACCTAAACTTATAAAAAAATTATACCCAAAATTATTGGGAAAAAATTCACAAATACGGTTAAGTTATGTTCATGGGTTTGGGGGGGGGGAATTCTAAGTGGCGCTGATTCGGGTGTTCGCTTAACTCTGAAAATGTCCTAGAACCGGCCCTGAGCTGATTATACAATAAGTCGTTGCATCACTTTCCTTTCATTGGCACTGACAATAAATGAAAACATAACCTCTTTAAGAAGTAATGAGTAGTGATTTTTTGTAATTAAAAACCAGATTGTTAGTAATTAAAAAACTGTCGTAGGTAAAGTAGTGTACGCAACTCGCGTTAATAGTCTTTACGACACTCGTAGAAGTTTTTAAAGCACTCGCCAAGACTCGTGCCTTAAATTTTCTACTCGTGTCGTAAAGACTAACTTAACGCAATCCTTGCGTAAACTACTATTCTATTATATTAGTATAAAAAGGAATGGTTTCTGTATGTCTTTGTGAGTTAGATTCAATTTAAAGCAAAATATACTGACCGATTCGGCTTACTACCATTACCACACAAAGATTTATAAATAAAATAATTTAAATTAATTTCACCTATTAATGCAGACAACAGCATATTTTTCCATATATCTGGTTATAGAACTGTATACCGAACGTTCTACGAGTCATGCAAGTTTCTTACGTAATATAAATACAAATATGAATATTTGTTAAGACAATTCCTACTTAGGTAAATTAAACGAAAAATTAAGGTTACATTTTTTATTTTTTACTCAAGTATATAAGAAATTGTTATTAATATTATTGAAATTTAAGACTCACAGAAAGATTAGCTGTTTTATCTAGGCTATTTCAAAAGTATTAGAATGCCTACTTTGCGTGAAATCTGATCCCAATTGCTTTGCCTTATCACTATTTGATTTTGAGCCGCAATTGTGCAGCTAGCTAAAAATGAGATTTGATTGAAATAGACAAAATTAAAAATAACTAATTGAATTTTACATTTTATTTTATGATTAAAAACTTTAATTATATTTAGTTCCATTTGTTTAAAAATTTAAAACAAAAACATTAGTTTAAAGACTTAAATGCTTCACAAATTGATCAATTTTTAAAAACTGTGTAATACATTTTTAAATAGTTTACATCGTAAACAACGCCTAAAAGTCACATTGTCATATTTCATATTATTTATAAAATGGATTTAAATAATAACTCATATTATTTAAAATTACTATAAAAAATCATTTTGGTTAGAAAATATCATAAAATAATGTCAGACAACTACAACGAGGAAAACATCGAGGTTCCAACTTTTAAAACAACGTCCGGCTAATACCGTCCACGCGGAAGTCATGTTTTCGGAAAGTCTAGTAGCGAGGGTGTGGATAGCCCGATGTTTTCAGTCCCCGTATGGAACATGCCCGCGTTTTTCACAGCGTTTCCATAGCAACCCTAGCATCGATTACCTTACTCAGTTGTGCTCTGTAGTTTGTGCGCGCAGGTTGCGCCGCGATCTTTCCGGATTACAAATTCTCTAAAAATCTCATAGGTAAGTTATATTTTAGGTTATTACTCATTTGCAGTCTCGTAGACACCTAAGGGATGAAAAACATCCATAGTTTGTGTCCAAAGAGAGTCAGAGGGCTGATTGCAAATGGGGTTGTTTGGCTCATCAATGGTATTTGGTAGTGGTGAATAAGATGAGTGTAATGTTGTTATATGGGGATATCACAGGTTGTTAGGTGGAATTTACAGTTTGTATTTATACAAATTATTGATTGTACCATGACAAATATAGTGTGATAATTGTATATGGGTTAGTGGGGTTGTGTAAGTTAGGCTCATCTCCCGGTTCAACAGAACATGATACATTAGGATTTTCAATTTAGTATTCATATGAGTATGATTTATGGATGCAGTTTTACAGATAAAAACAGTACATTACAAAATATGTATGACAGAGTTATGGAATACGAAGGAAGTGTAAATATACAGTTCAAACCTTAGGCCTACTAACAGATAATCACACTGCATAGCTAGAAATGAATGAGTAATATTAAATATATTCAATAAAGGGGGTTCCTTCTTGGTTGATATCTAATATTTCAAATTTTGAAGGGTGTCAGACGTAATATTAAAACATTTTGCAAAAAGTAGAAAACCCCTGAAAGCCATCACGGTTCATCCCCGTACAATTTTTAATTTTGAGTGTAATACATCGAAAACGCTTCATGCCGAAAGAGACTTGCTACCTTAAAAATATGTAGGTATCAATAAATGTCAAACCAGCCCCATTCACTATACAGGAATCTAATACATAAAATATAGTTAACCTATACACTTTTGCTTCACAATCTTCGTACAATATTAATGGTGTAAAAACTTAAAATTATGTGTACAAACATTAGTTTAAATTGGTACGAGTTGTAAAATTTTTAATTTATGGCGTTACCTCGAGTAACGATCAGTGTATTTATTTCTGAATGTGCCACAATATAATTGTTTAAACAAAATAAATATATAAACATATAACAATGGAAATAAACAATAACTGCAATTGAAGCAGTATCCAATCTGCACTAGGCAATACAAAGACAAAATAAAGAGATATATCTGACTTTATTATGTGATAAAAGCTATTAAGTGTTAATCTGTTGGCTGGGATATGTTTTAACATTGATAATTAAATTGGGCAACCTAAAAGAATCACTGTGGTTCTTCGTACTGCTCTATATACTTGTATGAATGAGATTTACACCATTTTGAAGGGCATTTTGAATATTGGTTTTATTGGAAACTGTAGTCTAAAATTTTTTTTTTTTGCTTATCAATTAGACGAATCGTCAATGCAGACAAATTCACATTGCTCAAAAAATCCTTATTTGCTTATGAGTATGTCAGAACCATCCAGTTACTATACTATGCTATGACATAGAGAATCACGATTGGGAATTGGTGGGTTTTAAAATCTTGCACCAAACCACTAGACCAACCTCGGACGTGTTTTAGATAAGGTTTTAATACCATACAAATTTCAGATAGATTTAAGCATTCATTTAATGACATTAATCGTATGAGTACTTAACAATTATAAATAATCTCATTTTAAAATTGATCTATACCGAAGTAGGGCAAATTCGTTGATACAATGCCTCATGTAAATGAACAATCCTGTCATCACTGTAAGTTTAGTCTGATGATGAAATATTATTGGTTCACATTAGACCTAAATAAAATAGTGTTATTTTTTTAAATACCAAGCAAGTTGAGCTGCTGAATTGGCTAGTCCGTGGCTAATTTTGAACGTCACTTAATTTTAAACAGTCTTAAAGTTGTTGACTTCAATTCAATCCAATACAATATTAGTGTAAGCGGATTTGCCTGTTCAAAAGCAGGACTTCGTTGAAATTATTTAATTGAATACAAATTTTTGAGTTTGAATATTCAAATTTCTAAAACTGAAATTTACAAAATACATTGTGAGAAGTTTTGTTTTATATTGCTGTAAATCATTATTACAATATTTTGAACGCGATTTAAATTATCAAATGTTTGCAAACTACAAAGGTTTAATTTTAAACGATCAAACGTTCTTGTCTGGTTGTGTTGCCATCCGTTGATTTAGATGCTAGGTAAAAATGAGCCTTATAGAATACTGTACATCTAAAAATATTTTTGCTATAAAACAAATTGTTCTGTAGTCCTAATGATAAATCATAGGCTGATTTTCCAATGCCTTGGTCAATACCAAATACCTCCAACCCCTAGGTTTATACACTATAGTACTATCTTTTGAATGAGTCGCCCATCAACGAATGATTTTTGTTTTCAAGTTAGTTCTTTCTAGAGTAATTAAATCTATTACTATTTACTAATCTCAAGATCTTTCTGTAGGTAAAAAATAGCGTTTTTTTCATAAAAATAATGTATTTTTGTAATAATAATACGAATTTGAGAGAAGAGAGCTACAGTATATACAATACAGTTAAACCGCCACTCTGGCATTTCTGGAAAGGAAGTTCTAAGCTGTATCCAATTTAACTTTGGCCGGCTTCCAAATATTTGCCATTTACTCAAGACGTAATTTACTGGAAACATAATTCAAACATGAGAAATTGAAAAAGTTTAGTTACTTTTACGAATAAAATAAAATAATAGAAATGCTCTAAAATGGAAATACACATCTCCTCAGAGGTAAAAAAAAATATTTTGGAATTTCATTTAATTATTTGGTACCTAAGTGTATAGCTTTTTAGAGAATACACAGTGTGTTTTCCTTTTTACAATAAGCTTATTTTTGGTTTTAATCTTTCTTCTCATATCAAGTATTCTTTAAGATAGTGTTCGTCTATCTCGATAGGTGTATATACGTGGGGGTGTGAAAGAGAGAAATTATTTCGTAAGGTGTGATTTGCTTCAATACTTTACCTATTTTGGTTGTGTCTATGTTCTTTTTGCAGTATAATATTTAAGAATGTGTTTGAGGCAATGTTAAAAAGTTATTCCGATAATTTGTTTTAGCTATTTAAGTGGCAAGAGGTTGAATAATTTTGATACGACTGTCACGGGGATTCATCATCTTAGCGAATTTCCCATATAGAGAATAAGCTATTACCGTAGGTCTCATGGTACTTAATCGTTTTGAGGTCTTCAGAGGCCAAAAACACCATCCGTTAAAATTAATATATATGCGTGTGTGTCCGTTAGCACAACTCGAAAAATTATCCGATTTTAATGAACTTTGGCGTAAGCCTACACTTATATGAACGAGTTCGCGAACCAGCTTGATCGGACTATGGGAACGGGGGTTTTATGGTAAAAATTGAATTTTCCAATTTTTACCCTAAAAACATAAAGCTTTACACAACACCTCTTGTTTGCAATATTACAGATATGACGATCGTAAAGCCATTGTTTTAACAATTTCGTTTTATAGATATTATGCAACTTAATTTTCTCTCATTGGGAAATCATTGATGTCTATTCAATTTGCAGTTGCAAAGGAGTATGAAATGCAAGTAAGCATATCATCTACATTCGTTAGAACTCAAGACGTTATTCGTTATTACTCAGAACCTTTTGATAGCTGCAACGGTTAACTCTTAAGACGATTTCTGTTTAATAAAGAAATTGCGATTTCGTTACTTTTAACGTAAAAGATTTTAGCGCTCAAAAGCATTTTAATGGAAACGGATAGAGAAAAGCAAACTTCCTGGAATGAAAAGCATTTGATGCGAACTCAACAAAAGATTAAACGGCTCTGGCCTTTGATTTGAAATGAAATGACTCTTCATATTTATATTTTGAAAACTAAAGTAAATCTTTGTGAATATTATCGATTAGAGTGTTATATTTGTGCATGTGTAAATTATTTTTAAGGATTTAAAAACTAATCTATTTACTTTGCAACTATATTTTGGTTGGATTATACTTTACATATCTGTGCATACAACACGTTCATACATTTTAAATGTCTGTACATTTCTACGTCTATAAATTTTATATTGTATATGGCTATACACTATGCATATATGCATTTTTATTTAACACGTCCATACCCTGCACTACATCTAATTAGCCTACTTTGGATATTACGAAACAATAAAAAATATACTGTATTAAGTTATATATTTTTATCATAATCACACGCTTTTCAAATGTCAATTTTGAACATAGTTCAGAGAAATTATGTGAGAGAAGACATAAGATAAATTAATTCCGGATCCTATTATTTTATTTCTATCAGTTCATCATTATTTTCACACCCCAGTGTGGTATGATGTATAGTCTAGTGATTCTTTTCCCTACAGTTACCTGACAAAGCAAGCTTTCTTGCACTGATTATAGCACGCAAAGTAGTTGATCGCTGCATTTACTTACCTTTTTCGCACTCATTTTACTTTGTTGCACTCCAGTATTCCAAACCAACAAGACAAGACAGTGTGTTTTGGGAAGCAATGTACGCTTGAAAATAAGTTGGCAACACTTAAAGATACTAGGATTCGAGCGGCAACCGCGGCAACGACGTATTTTGCGCTTTTACACAAATGGCTATTTCGGAAAACGACGCGCATCTAGGTATGCACTTCAAACTGAATAATATTCAGTTTGATAATATCCTAATAATGTATTAGTTTGATAATAATATCCTAATATTCAAATGGGAGAAATGGTCCGGTCTACAGAAACTGATTGCAGTCAGTAACAAAGCTACAGACATCATCTGATCCAATTCTAAAGTCACACATATAATATGTTACTGACTGCAATCAGTTTCTGTAGACCGGACCATTTCTCCCCTAATGTAATAGCCTCTTCTGAAGATAGCGGCAGTTTGTGTATGGCAACGTCGCACCGGCCGGCCATAGAATAACAAACGTGTATAAATACACGAACGTTGCGCAGGGACTCCATTACGAATAAGTACAACAGCTGTTTCCATAGGCCGGTAATGCGGCGTTGCCACATTTACGGGAGGTAAATTTTATGCAGCCTTGTGTAATGGAAGGGGTCGAATATTGTAAAGAGGAAGTGTTTGGCAATGTTGTG